TCGTTAAATAAAAATCTTGCCAGATGTCGGAACGACGTGGCCGTGCTCCGTCGGACGGAGCAGCAAGATCAAGGTTCGAGGCTGGTGGTGTGATTAAAAAGAATAAAAGAAGAAAGAAGGAGAGAGAGAGGGGGGGGGAAGAAAAAGTGGAAAAGCAGAAGAGTGGGTAGCGCGAGGTTTCACCGACGTTTCACCCCGATGAAGCCTTCTCTATCTCGATTCACGAAGCTTTTCCACTCGCGCCAACGGGCGAACCCGTATTCCGTGGATTCCTGGCAGGATTGTACCGGACGAAACAAAGCTGTCGTCCCGTTTGATATCGGCTTTTACATGGTCTGGCAAACGTTCTGCCCTCTCCTGTCGCCTCCGACAAACCGTCTATCGTTTCCCGTGCATCCCGTATGAAATCTGATATTAAACATTCTTTGCGCGACCCAGGGGGTTAACTGTGAAAAGAGGTTTTGTCTCGCGAAGGCCATGCCGTCAGGTGGTACAGTGCACCATGTTCTCTGCTTTCTCTCTCTCTCTCTCTCTATCTCTCATTCCGTTCAGCAGCCGTAGCTACGGGCATGCTGGTAATCTAACGGAAATGAGTATGCATGCGATGCAAACTAACGGGGTTGCAGGTGCTGCTGACGAGATCCAAGGTGGTTGAAGAACGAGGTTTTCGTACCATTGTTCTCCGTTTCGTCAGGAACGGTTTCTGCGAATCGGTAAATATGATTTTATTCGTGGAAATTGTGTGCGTTGCGGAATAGAGTGCGTTGACTAATCCAATAGATGGACGAGATTCGATTAATTTCGAGCGTTTCATCTCTTTCTGAATTACCTGAATTATCTGAATGTTCTGTCAAATTGTTTCTCGGACAAAAGTTTGCAGTTGGACCTTCGTCCTTTGATGAATATGTTGTGACAATGTTGTTAAATGTTGCTTTGAATCAAACTTTTAGTCAAATGATTTCATTGAAAGTAAAATTTTTAGTTTATCTGTTATTTGCTGGTGGTGTTAGTTAAGTAAAAATGTATTTGAAAAAATAAACTATTTTATTATTTGAGACGAATCTATTTGTCATTTAACTTTACGTACATCTATGCAAACAACAATAATTTATTTTCCAAATAACATGTTGGAATTTATTTTGAAATAGACTTATTCCTTGCTTCTTATTTGCAAGAATCATTTCCACTAATTTATTACTCTTATTTGAGAAATAATTTGAGAAAAGTAACTTTATCTTGAAAATAAAAACACATAATATCAGAAAAACGTGAAGCGTTTAATTGGAAATTATTTGAGAAATGATCTAGCAAATCTAAAATTATATATTATAAATAATATAATAAAAAATGAAAAATTATTTCATTCGATATATAATCAAATAATTTAAAGAAAAATCATTTACAGACAAACTAACGTAAGATTAATTCAAAATAACATCGAATCAAATGATTCCATTCAAATTCGAAGCAATCGTTTGTCCTTTTCATCCCGAATAAAAATGTTCTCGTGTTACGAATGATTAATGAAATAGAAAGATATAGATAAATACCAATACAGATAAATATAAATCTCAACGAACATACTCAATACAAGGATAAAAAACGGCTTCACTGCTGTAAAATGAAACATTCAACGAGGCGACGATGATTCGACATTCGCACGGACTCGACCGAATGCCTCGCCTGCGTAAAGATCATACGACTCGTCAGGCCGGCTGGTAATTCGATGAAAATGAAATGTGGCGAACGTCACAGACAGAGTTGAATCTCCCACAAGGGCAAAGGTGATCGAAGAGCAATTTTCGTAAACCGACAATTGCGGCTCTTAGGAGAACGATGCATTGTTCGATGATTGATTGGTACTCGAATAATTGTAGCCATAATCCCTCCCTGTAC